CCACAGCTCGAATCGCTCTACCCATTCCTCGATCTCGGATGGACTGGCTTGCAGGTTCAATTGTTCAATGCTTGGAAACTCCGTTACGTGACGCCAATTTGTGGTGATCGTAGAAGTAGTAGTAGTGAAATAACGCACAGAAGTCAGGACACAAACTACGCAATAGGAATCACGGAAAACGAATTAGAAATTCGGTGGCACTAGAGCGCAATGGCTCGAACTCGCAATAACCCGCAGGATCGAGACGCGAGGAAAAAGGCCACAAGACAGTCGAATCACCAAGTCGTTTATTGAAGGAAATGAAAGTGAATATATATGTGCACTACCAAAGTCCGGAAACTGTACCGCGCTGCTCCAGGGCAGGCGTAATCTCGTATATCCGAATGATCGGAGTTCTTTGGTTTTGTCCTCGGTCCAGCATTCAAGCCAAAGTAGCAGCTTTTATAGGCATGAGCGACACTGCCGAAACCTTGTTGTTGAGTTAAAGGTGACCTTGGCACACCAAACGCTGCCGAATCCGTGCAGTCATCATTGGCTCCAATATTTTAACCACAGCGCTAGTAAGGCTGACTGGTCGATGGTTCGAAATGTCATTTTTATCTCCAACTTGGACAGTGGAACAATGACAGCGTCCTCCCACTTTCGCGATAAACGCCCTTCAGTGAATGACTAATTGAACAGGTTGCACAGTGGCGCTGCAAGTTCATCTGCCAGCTTTTCCAGAATCAGCGGATGTACATCATCAGGTCCAGGTGACTGGTGAACGACGCAGTGTCCGGGACATCTCTCCGATTGTAAATGGGATCCAGTTCAACACAGTGTCAGTGTCCAGTAGATGTGCCACTATGCCGAAGGCTGGGGTATACACTGAGACATAATATGATGCCAGCATCTCGCCTTTGTCCTCATATTTTAGGGCTATTGCCCCATCTTTGACTAGAGTAAGGAGACCAGACGTTGCTCTGATTTTTTGCCTGAGGTAGGCATGAAATCGCTTTGGTGCTTGTACTGAAACCGTTCTTAGTCGTTCCTCAAATCTGGTCCTCTTGCAGTATCTTACTTTTCTATCCACTTTTATCTGATATGACTGTACAGCTTGTTTTAATATACCCTACACCTAAAACCACAACATAAATTCTGTTCGTAGCTTTGCACGTGTTCTCCGAGTGTTGCTGAAACATTACACAATCATCATCAGTTATCGTCAAGCGGTCCGTTCAGCTCAACTGAACCTCATCAGCCGGAGCCACGCATCTGAAGAACAGGATCAATCAACCAGCCGGATAATCCTTCTGTGAGTCCGTTCCTTGTATCGTAATCTCATTATTATTCGTATATGTAGTATCTTTTCCATTACATATTTTGGTGAGCCCTTGTTTAGGTTTCATATTTTCCCACGGTACCCCAGATTCTTTAGGAATTTCGCTTTATTTTATTTTATTTGTTCACCGTACATTTTACGTATGGAGCAATCAAAACTAGACACAGAGGACCTTCCCATGTCTTCGCAAATTAACTTGCCGGCATTTGGTATTACCAACCCCCAGTTATGGTTCGCACAAGCGAAAGCCCATTTCCGTGCCCACTGCATCCGCTTCCATACGATTAAGTATTCAGATATAGTCGCTTCTCCGCCCACCGACATTGCAGAAAAGGTGTGTGAATTCATCATCATCATACCTGAGACTGACTCAAACACTCAGTTGAAGGAAGTTTGTATTGATCGATCTGTTAAAATCCTTCCTGTTAAGCCCAGTCATTCCATCTCGGTTCCACATTTCGTGAATTTTACGTTCCATTCACCAAACCTCATCCGCCTCACATACACATAGACATTTGACGTTCCACTCCCTCTGTATATTTACACATCAATCCTACCATTTGACTTTGTTTGTTTATCTGNGTGTGCGGCGTGACGGTGAGCGTGCTATTCTTACCCAGGCTCATTTTCTTCCATTCACATTTGTTAAATTACGCTCACAGTAACACTTGGCTCTTGTTTTTAAGTTGTTTCGAGATCACTTTGAGGTTTGTACAGTTTTATTTGCTTATTTGATCGTTTAATAATGCAGTACCGTAGAAATTTGCCGGATCGTTCGTTTGTTGACGCTTTGGGATCCAATTTCGGCTATGCTTAGCTCCTTGATCTATTTGGGAGTTACAGTACTCAATTTGGATCAAGAGAATGTCGTTTAAACAAGCAAGAATCGAGGAGGAAGGACGGGAAGTAACCCGGCAAGTCACTGGGGAATTTGGATGGGTTTCCGATTCTCACATTTTTAATTCAGTTAGCCCTGTTAGTTCTAGGAGTTCATGTGCCTTAGATTGTCATGCTGATGTTAAGATTTCTGATTTATAACTCCGTAAGATTGTAGAGTTAGAGCAGGAGATTAGATCGATGAAGCTT